AAGCCTCAACAGCCGCGAACTGGATCCCACACGAGAGCACCGAAGAGCCTCGCTGAAGCCAAGCGGCCACACTACAAACACTGGGAAAGTCTAATTAACAGCAAAACCGCTGGCAGTCTTACCGTAGCTACGTCACTGGCACGCTAGAGTCACTGAAATGTCATTTTCTGCAGCAGGTCACAGTGAAAAATCAGGATTTCTCGCACCACCCTGGACGAGGTTATGCGCTGCGGACATCTCCAGCTTCCCTTTGGAAGCGGTAACTGGGCTCCCCATCACTCTCAGACTGGCACTGCACTGGCTACGTACGGACAGGGCACCTTAATCCCACCGCCGCTCGGGGTCAGCGACGGGGCCGGGGGGCTGCCGGGGCTTCGCAGCAAGTTTGTTCCTGAGGAAGAAAGGGAGCGAAGTACACGTGTTGGGTCCTTTACGAACACCCTGAGACCTCTGCCCTTCAACAAACCTAGAGCGAATCAACGCTCCCTGCGCACAGCTAGGACAGCAGGCATCCCGAAATCCCTTCTTCAGCGCTGCATCCTGCAGGGACATCAAGGGACAAGGGCGAAACTAGGAATCCACCAGCACAGCATGACACGTACGAGACACGTGATGTGCAGGGACGGGATACGGAACGTGCCGGAATGAGACCTTACATGGATTGCCACGGGGCACGTCCACAACTGCCTTTGCCTTGCAAGCAAATGGAAAAAAAGTGGAAGAGCGACCGGCAAAGGGGCTGGAGCACAGCGGACACTTCCCTGCGGTGTCGAACGGATGAGGTTCCTGCTCCTGATAAGCTACTACGGGCTTTCCCTGTCAGAAGAGGTCACATCCACCCCGACGAATACAGGTAACCGGCCTCTCAGCTGCCAGATAAAGAAACTGAAGAAATGCTTTATAGTTCTACTCTGCAGTGATAATTGTTATACAAATCCCAAAAATGTTCCTGAGCATTCTCAGAATGTAAAGTTTAAAAGTTTTTTTGCTGATGACAACAAGTCTTATCTCCAGATTAAAAAAGGAAAAGCAGAGAGAGACCATTTTAACTCAGAAGAGTAAGAGTTGAGTTGAAGTGACCAACAGCGTGCATCCCTCATCACTCTGCGACAAGATATGCTGAGCACTGTGTTCAAACATTGCTCTGGGCAAAGATTTTTAGACTTCAGGTCCTTTGGAAATGGTAGACAGAGCTACAGAAACCATGGCTTTGCAGAAGTCACTGGTATGGCTTCAGAGAACTTGTCATCGGTCCAGAACGACAGCATGCCACAACCCCAACGGCGTCCCAGCAGCCCCACGGCAGCTACCCCGCGCCATGGCTTCTGAAAGGGAGCAGGTCTGTGTTTAAGCTGCTCTTCTCTGGGAAAAACGGACAGAAAATGGACAGAAAGAGAAGCAGCAACTCCTGTCCCTTCCTTCTCTGCAGCAGCTTGGGGAGAATGAACAGCCCCTGGGATTCACCACGTCTGGTCCAATTTAGGGAAGGAGACTCAGGCGGGGAATCCCAGCCAGAAGCATCCCCCCGGCTTCTTCCATCCTGCAGCTTCTGCACAGCACGTGGCACCTCAGCATCCTTCCCCACCTCTACCACCTCGCCTCTCCAGGGTCCACCTTCTCCAGATGGTCTCCTGAGCTGCACGCCGAGCTCAGCGGCGTTCCCTGCATCCGCAGGCACGCAGCCCACCCAGCAGCACCGCCCGTCCGCTGCCCCCGCCGCACGCCCGCACAGCCACCCAGCGACTGCTCCGCTTCCAACCGCTGACAGAGGAAGACTGTATTAAAGGCAGTGTTTGAAAAAGGGAAGAACGCTTTCCAATGAAAACCAGCATCCTCACAACACAAAGTCCTAAAGGCACAAACCGGTGAACTAATCGGAGCAGGTTACAAGAGTAATCAGAAAGATTCCTGCGAGATTAAAACGAGGGGTTTCACTAGCAACCTAAGTTTCCAAGACAGCATTTAGAGAGCCTCAGCCTGTACAGTGAGAGCAGGAGAGGCGGCTCAAATGGGCCGTGATACGCCACGGTCCTTCAGACAGCACATGCCGTCTTTGCCGTAAGTCCTTCTCCTGCAAGCTTATCTGCTAGCTTCCTAAACAACACTGTTCACACAGATATGGATCTATAAAGGGTTATAAGTACATGTATTTATATATATTCACACATTTTAGTCCCTGTAATGAAGGTTTACTCCTTTCTCTTCTGTGCTGCTGGAGCAGCTGCCAACACGGATGGCACTGGTGGCTGTTCTCAGAAGTAACTGTGTCTATTCCAATCCTCCAGAGAATGCAACAGAAAGCAGATTACTATCGAAAGGAGCAGCGGTTGGCTCAGCTCAGTCCCATAATTACTATATACAGAAAAGAAACCCCTTAGACACAAAGTCCCATCTTCCCTCCAGCTCTCAAACCAGTTCTGCTCAGCCCACCTGGGCAACCCATCCTGGAGTCTACGCAGCTCAGCCAGGGTAACTCGGATAAACGTGAGCATCACCCAGACATTCACATTTGTAGGCAATAAACAACAAGCGGCATGCAACGGTTTTGTTAGAGAAGTCAAAACAATCCATGGCTTTAACACTGGAAGTGTGTCCTGGTGTGGTGAAGTCCACATGCTAACAGAGGAGACGTACCTAACGGCAGGCCGCTCCATTCCTGTGACCTAAGCAAACATGCCTCAGTTAGTTCAGCACAAATTAAATAAAACACATCTGAACTGCACCAAGACCACCATATTCAGAAAAACGATTAATCTACATTTACAATAAATATTTCCTTTTGTTTTCTCCTATAACATGATGTATTTTCCCGGAACCGAGAACAGGGGTGCAAGAGGGAAGCTGCGATGCTTTGCAGAAGGCTTCCCATGCTGGGAAAACGAAAAGTTGCCTGTCCCTATCTCTACCTTAACACTAACAGCAGCATTGACAATCAACAGTTTTTATTTAAATGCCAATCTTGGTTTCCCAGAAAAGGAGTGGTTATGGATTAGATTCAGCAGATTGCTGTAAAGCCTCTTTCGGATCAGTATCAAATGTTCTTCAGCTTGCGAACATCTTACGTTTAAAACAAGCGTAAAAGCGAGTCTTCAGCAATTCCTACATGAAGTCTACAGGGGGGGAAGAAGCAAACGTCTCCTCCCATGTATTTACACTCCCCGTCTGCCCTCCCACAGCAAGCGGGAACACGGTTCAGAGAACTTGCTTTTGCACAGCAGGAAACTTCAGAATGGACCTGGCAATCCATGACCACTCCTGCCAGGTCCCGGATCGCAGCTACACAACGACACACAGCGGGATTAACACGACGGTCGCGGGGCGTCCCTCCCCAGGACAGCGAACTACGGAGATCAAAGACCAGGACAAGGAAGATGCAGCAGAGGCTACGGCCAAGAAATTCAGGAGCTTTGGTCTTGAGGTTTCAACATGACCCTGTTGCCACTCAGAGAAAGAGCAGCCACCACACAGTCAGTGCTACGACCAGGAGAAAGGACATCATAAAGGGAATACGTGGAGAAGGAAAAATGCTAGAGTACAGCTGACACTTTTTGAGTGATTTCTGCTCTTCGGGAATTGGAATAGAAACCTTTGGAAGAGTTTCTTCACTTGCTTGCCGGGGAAAGGCTGTCTCAGTAGGTATCTCCTGCTTTTTTAGTTTGTCTTCATCCTGTACTAACAGAGGACGTTCCTGTGTCTGCTTTCGTGGTAGAAGATCAAGAAAGACAGAGAGAGATGAACAAAAATGACAGATGGAAAGTGCCCAAAATGATACTTGGAGGTGTGCAAAGCGTTAGGACAGCCTTCCTCTCAACGTCAAAATAAACTGCCCTGGGGAGCAGAGCTGCTGGTGGCTTGGGTGACACCAGCCTTGGAGATACAAAATCCAGTCCTCTCTGCAGAGCTCAGGAACATCTGGACCAGGATCACCAGTGTTCTGTCACAAACCTCTGGCTCGTGATCACGCGTGTTTTGGGCCTGCCCTCCCAGAAAAGCATATGCTCAAAACCTACTGAAGTGTTTTGGAACTGGAATGGCTGAGAAAAAAGTTTGAGACATTAGAAATAGAAATGGTGGCGTACAAAATGTGGTCTCTGACAGCTTCCTATTCTACAGTGCCCTTAAAAAATAGTGCTTGTTAAATATTGTTGAACATCCAGACTGCCGTGTAGGTACAAAATGCTTTTTCAAAGATCTGACAAGAGTATCAAAATTGCGATTGCTTCAAAAATTCTACTGGAACAAGTGAAAAAAATGTTGTATCTTAGAAATCCCGAGCATGGAAGAGGCGGGATGGCAGCAGGAGCTCTGCAAACTCCTTCAGTTTTGCTCCGCTTTCTAGCACTTTTGTTTCTGGAGTCTGAAGAATGTAAAAAACCCTAACGAGCAAATCATCATATAGGATCATGCAAGGGCGCTAACGCTTTTGTTGAAGAAAGGAAAGATTGTGGGAAATGTTGCTGTTCCATAACTCCCCACCCCTTCCGTCTGCCAGACCGGGTCAAACCCAAGTGCACCTAGGAGAGGAAGAACTTGGCTCTGAGCTCTCTCAGCTGAGCCAGCCTCCTTTGATCAGTGCGGTATTTTGGGACTGGCTCTTTGCACACCCCTAAGTGATGAGTATTGGGGAGAAAGTAGCTGGGAGACTGGGCAGCAAAAGAAAATATAAAATGCAAGAGTAACATGATCGTTAAAAAAAAAACGGAAAGAAAGACAACATAAAAAGAACAGGGTACAGTTAAACTTTCATAATAGCTTTTCTCTCCGAATACACGGTTATATCTTTCATGCAGCTTTTTCGAACCAGCCATGCACCGAAATAAGCAAAATCGAAAGCTGCAAAAGCTGCAGCAGTGCAAAAGTCCTCTCAGTGTGAGTTATGAAACTACTTCGTGTAGCCAAAAGAAAAAAGGTTATCCAGCGGCTGCTGTTGAGTTTTTGCTTGGTGCCATTGCAATAGCAAAAGTCTGGTTCAGAAGCACATATCAGAACAGCAGCTTTACCTCAAGCCCACCAACCTGTCTCTCGGAAGATAGGACAGTGACTTTCTTGACCTGGACACACAAAGCGTGTTAAGGTTCAGTTGTCTTGAAATAAAACATACAGGAACAGCAGAAAAGCAGCCCCTGGCAGAACACCCTCTGGGCACTACAGCAGGGGAAAGACACCACCAAGAGGAGAAACCGGATTGCTCTGCATCGGGGTCTACCATCCTTAAGCACGTGCAGATGAAGGTCAACACCCTCCCTGGTCGGTGCCTCTCCAAGCTGCATTTCTGGAAGTTCACAGCAGAACATGTCCACCTTCACCTCAGAGCAAGACCACTTCAGAGAGGATCAGATTAAGAGGGAATTTCCAGAAATGCAAATCCAGGGCTGACACCAACCCTTGCGTGGCTGTGGACCATTGCAGCCTTAGATGGGGAAAGCCCTCGCCATCCAGTTATCACGAACAGCAGCCCCCCAGGACCTCACAATGTGGTCACCATGCAAGAAATTCTTTGTATTAACCAAGAGTATCATTCCTGAACTACGGCTGTGGAGCTTCAGAGCCCTTGCTCTATCCCACCCCCACATCCATAAACCACGTGGCACCGCGAGCAGAGCTCTGCATCACTCTGCTGCCCAAATTCCTGCAGAATTTACACTGAGACTCAGAAATCAGAGGAAAGTCCATCCGTGTGTTCAGCAAGGTAATTCCAAGGACAACGATCAACCCTTATTAGTTCATTTGGGGGGTTTTGTTTTTCTAGCAGGGAGAAAAAGCCCTACAATTGTCACGGCTTTTCGCTGTGCTTTGAGGAAGCTGTAGTAAACTTGGTTGTTAAAACCCCGTGTACCTGTTCTAACCCTCCATCCACTGCAAGATTATTGCTGTTTAAAAAGTATCTCCCTTGGAATGGTTTGAAGACTAAACGCCAGCTCATCCGCAGCGCTGTGGGCAGGAAGGGGAGAAGCTAGGCTTAAACCAGGAGAGAGCCTACGAATGCCGCCACTGCAGCCAGGATGCAATTTTTCAGTTGTAAAGAAAAATAGCATTTATTATTTGAGAGACTGATTACCATGGGCTGTAACTATGGTTTTACTCAAAAGCTTCAAATCTGAGCTGGGTAACATCTACATTAAACAGAGCAGCTGTATGTTATCCAGGAAGAAGCCAGTTGGCAGACAGATCTCTGCTGCTCCAACTCGGTTTCTTCGAAAAATTACCTTTTTAAGGACATTAATTAGCAGGGAGGCTGTGAATGTGTACGGCTACTAACATACAGACACTGTTCCTGCAAGGAGCAGGATTTCCACCACGTATGCACAGCCCTGCTGTAGCCACTTGAGGAGTCTTCTCGAAGCCTCTACAGCAGATCAGCACCTGCAGATCCTAATGCAAGACTAAACCCAGTGACATACTGGATTAACTGGAGAATAAAGTGACTTATGAAAATTCATACCACCCTAGTGCTTCTCCACTGGGTCACCTGCAATATTATCTCTGAAGTAATTCCCTTCAATTTAGGTGTTTGGGTTTTTTTTCCCTGTGTTCTGGGGAGAGCTGTGCCCTGGC